GTTGTTGTTGTGATCATAAACTGTATGGATGTGATTACACAGAGCTTTTCCCTCACTATTGTAACGCGCTGCTTTTACGAGCTTCCGTGAAAACCTTTCAGCTTTTATTTTCCTTTTTCACCCTGAAGAAGATATCACAGCTTCATCAAGTTCGTGAATCCTCGATCACTTTTAGAGTGAAAGTAGCCTTGTCACCTGACCTGAATACAGCGCGCTGATTCGCTGAAATTGACTTATCAGCTTCTGATCAAAAACAACAAGGAGCTTGTCGGCTTCTGCAGTAAAACGTGAACTCACGATGCCTTGAAAGTGGACAAAACCGGCTTTTTTGACAAAACGTGTTTAGGGTTCAGATCGCGCTATATGTGGAGAATAATGCACGGCATTTTTTTTTAAGTGGCGTTTATCGGTTTTTGCAAATGAACTCTTCATATATATTTAGTAAAAAAAATTAAAAATTAAAAATAAATATACAGTGGGGAAAATAATTATTTGATCCCCTGCTGATTTTGTAAGTTTGACCACTTACAAAAAAATGAAGGGTCTATAATTTTTATGGTAGGTTTATTTTAACGGATAGAGACAGAATATCAACAAAAAAATCCAGAAAAACACATTATATAAAGGTTATAAATTGACTTGCATTTCAGTAGGTAAAATAAGTATTTGATCCCCTACCAACCTGCAAGAATTCTGGCTCCCACAGATTGGTTACCGCATTGAAGGACCGATGGACAGGGCCAAGCACCGTAAAATTCTGGATGAGAACCTCCTTCTCTCAGCCAGAACACTGAAGATGGGTCATGGGTGATGGGTCTTCCAGCATGACAATGACCCAAAATACCGCCAAGGCAACAAAGGAGTGGCTCAAAAAGAAGCACATTAAGGTCATGGAGTGGCCTAGCCAGTCCCCAGACCTTAATTCTATAGAAAATCTGTGGAGTGAGCTGAAACTTTGAGTTGCCAAGAAACCTTAAGGATTTAGAGAGGAGGAGGTGAAACAAAATCCCTCCTGAGATGTGTGCAAACCTGGTGACCAACTACAAGACACGTCTTACCTCTGTGCTTGCCAACAAGAGTTTCTCCACCAAGTTTTGCTTGGGGATCAAATACTTATTTGACTCACTGAAATGCAAATCAATTTATAACCTTTGAACAGTGTTTTTTTTTCTGGATTTTTTGCTTGATATTCTGTATCTATCCGTTAAAATAAACCTACCATAAAAATGATAGACCCTTCATTTCTTTGTAAGTGGGCAAACTTACAAAATAATTATTTTCCCCACTGTATATATATATATATTATTTCAGCTAGTTGACAAGGCAACATTTCAAATTTTTAGTTTAAGTACTAAAATAACTAAAACCATCATAAAAATTATACAGACTTATTAAAAAAAATTATAAAAATGACAAAAACAACAAAATTACTACAATTTTAATTTGGAAACCAAAAAATATAAAACTAAAATCTAATTCAAAATATTAATCACAACGATGCTGCAGTAACATCTTGACGGATCTGAGGATTTTTAATAGATTGCTTTGAGAACAAACATCTATCCGTGTTTATATATTTATTTATAATAATAATAATACATTATGTATTTACATATAATCATTTCATCATTATTATTTAAGGAACGACACTATAGGTGAACAGGGTAAAATGTAATAGATATAATCTTCCCCAGTTGAAGAATTGAACATGAAGAATTGCAAACATTTTCTGTATAGCAAGTATTCTGAAATGTTGTGTTTGAATATACAAATAGGGTTGCAAAAAGGTGGAAAATTTCCAGTAAATTTTGGAAACATTCCAGTATTTTTTGGAATATTCCAGGGATTTTCTGAAAGTTTCCGGAAATTTCCCACCCCTTTGCAACCCTATATGCAAATGAGGTATAATCTAATTTGCATATATTACAGCACATAAATCTGAACATTAGATAAAGCCAGGTTCAAATTCTTGTTTGATTTTGTTGACATATTAAAGGTTTTTCTCTTTTCATTGCTCCATAAATCAGAAAATACTGTCAACAGACGGAAAACAAACACATTTCACCATGTTTTCAGGAGTAAAATGTTGTATAAATCAGTGTGAGTGAAATATGAACAAACCTACAGAATACTGTAAAGTTTGTTGTTTGTAAGAGAAAAAACTCTTTAAAGATTGAAATCTACAGATGCAGATAGATAAAGTGCAATAAAAGAAACACTTAAATGTGTATTGTGGATGTTTTCTCTCCACTAGTCTGAAAGAAGAGACTTGGAGCAAAACAGAGCAACATCTCAAAACTGACCAGTGCATTTACTTAATAATGTCTTCATTTTTATTAGTCTCCTTGCTTTTGTAGAGCTTCTTTGTTGTGTAATCTTACGATTGTGTAGTTTCAAGGGATATGTGCCTTACAGATGCAGATAAAGTGCAATAAAAGAAACACTTAAATGTGTATTGTGGATGTTTTCTTTCCACTAGTCTGAAAGAAGAGACTTGGAGCAAAACAGAGCAACATCTCAAAACTGACCAGTGCATTTACTTAATAATGTCTTCATTTTTATTAGTCTCCTTGCTCTTGTAGAGCTTCTTTGTTGTGTAATCTTACGATTGTGTAGTTTCAAGGGATATGTGCCTTCACAGGTAAGAGATTTGAGAGTGTAAGTGTAAGCGTAAAGGGTTCAGAAGTGTCACCTTGAAGAGGTCGTAGAGCTCCGACAGGTCTTGCTGCGACAGAGACACGTCTGCTGTGACCAACCGCAGCTGCAAACACACACACACACACACACACACACACACACACACTCACTCACACGCTCACACACACACACACACACACACACACACACACACACACACTCAAGCAGAAGAACGAGCCGTGCAGAAGCCTTTCAGAGGAAGGAGAGGGAAGAGTCTCACTGCGTTGTCTTTGGTGGAGTCCTCGTGCACCTGCAGCACCTGAACACGCTGGCGGCTCCTCAACATCTCCACATGCTTCACCGACACACCGCAGAATTTCTGACGAGACACAGAGCGAGATGAAGACTCTGGACAAAAACGTAAGGCTGTTTAGAGCAGACACACACCTCATGCGCATCCGTGATGAGCGTGGTGATGTTCAGACGATGAGAAGCTCCTGCGTCTTCAGCACAAACGTGTGACTCCTCCTCGTGTCTGACCTGCTCCAGGAAACTGACCAACACAGAGACGAAACGCCTTTAGCTCACAGAGACATCAGTGCTGAAGGACTCCTCCAGTATTCATGAACTGTCTATGAAACTCCCTAAAGATTGACTATTTTGTTCAGTGTTCATACAGGAATGATTTAATGGAGTCATCACTATGATTCAGTTCTGTGAATCAGTTCAAAGAGTTTCAGTGAATCGATTCAAAACTCTGATTGCATCATCATCATCATCACTCAGAAACATTCACTGAAGTCTCTGTTATTCATATGAAAGAGTTTCTCTAAATATCTGTAGGTGCTGATTATGACTATGTATTGTTATATTTGTGCATATAAATTAATATAATTAAATATTTAATGATTAATTAAATGATTACATATAAATATTGGAGCATAATAATAATCAAAATGATGAAATATGAAAATGTTTCAATATGAAATATTGGTGCATATAAATTAAAATGATTAAATATGAAATATTGGTACATATAAATTAAAATGATTAAATATGAAATATTGGTGCATATAAATAGAAATTATTAAATATGAAATGTTTAATGATTAATGAAATAATTAAATGTGAAATATGAATGCATACAAATTAAAAAGATTAAATATGAGGTATTTAATGATTAATGAAAATACTGAATATGGAATACTGGTGCATATAAATAAAAAAGATTAAATATTTAATAATTAAGTATTAAATATGGCTGCATATAAATGAAAATGATTAAATATGAAATATTGTTGCATTTTAATAAAATGATTAAAATATGAAATATTGGTGCATATAAATTAAAATTATTAAATATGAAATATGAAATGATTAAATATGAAATATTGGTGCATATAAATTAAAATTATTAAATATGAAATATGAAATGTTTAAATATGAAATATTGGTGCATATAAATTAAAATTATTAAATATGAAATATGAAATGTTTAAATATGAAATATTGGTGCATATAAATTAAAATGATTCAATATTAAATATGAAATGTTTAAATATGAAATATTGGTGCATATAAATAGAAATGATTAAATATGAAATGTTTAATGATCAATGAAATAATTAAATGTGAAATATTAATGCATATAAATTAAAAATATTAAATATGAGGTATTTAATGATTAATGAAAATGTTAAATATGGAATACTGGTGCATATAAATAAAAAACATTAAATATTAAATATTTAATAATTAAGTATTAAATATGGCTGCATATAAATGAAAATGATTAAATATGAAATATTGTTGCATATTAATAATAATTATTAAATATGAAATATTTAATTCATGAAATGATTAAACATGAAATATTGGTGCATATACATTAAAATTATTAAATATAACATGTTTAATGATTAAATATGAAATATTGGTGCATATAAATAGAAATTATTAAATATTTCATATTTAATTATTTCATTAATCATTAAACATGAAATATTAATGCATATAAACGAAAAAAATACGAGGTATTTAATGATTAATGAAAATATTAAATATGGAATACTGGTGCATAAATAAAAAAGATTCAATATTTAATAATTAAGTATTAAATATGGCTGCATATTAATAAAAATGATTAAAATATGAAATATTGGTGCATATAAATTAAAATGATTAAATATGAAATATTGGTGCATATAAATTAAAATGATTAAATATAAAATGTTTAATGATTAAATATGAAATATTGGTGCACATAAATAGAAATGATAAAGTACGAAGTGTTTAATGATTAATGAAATAAATATGAAATAATGCATATAAATAAAAATACTTAAATATGAAATATTTAATGATTCATGAAATGATTAACTATGAAATATTGGTGCATATAAATAAAAATTATTAAATATGAAATATTGTTGCATATTGATAAAAATGCTTAAATATGAAATATTGTTGCATATTGATAAAAATTATTAAATATGAAATATTGTTGCATATTGATAACAATTATTAAATATTAAATTTTGTTGCACATTGATAAAAGATTAAATATGAAATATTGTTGCATATTGATAAAAATGATTAAATATGAAATTTTGTTGCATATTGATACAAATTATTAAATATGAAATATTGTTGCATATTGATAAAAATGCTTAAATATCAAATCTTAAATATTAAATCTTAAATATTTGAACTGATTAAATACAGAACATACGTGCATATGAATTACAATTATTTCATATTCTTCTTCTTGGGTTAATTTAGTGGAAAACAGTGTGAAAACATGCCTTGATTTGACTGTATTTGACTGTTTACAGGAAGCCGCTGGAGGTAATTTCATCACCTGGTCAGGATCATGAGCGCGTGTCCGTCGTCGCTGCAGGAGCTGAGCTCGGCCGTGTTAGCGTCCAGCACCGCCAGCGCGATCTGGAAGACGGCTCTGATGCCGAGGTAGAAGAAGCAGTCGAGGACACACAGAGCGCTGCGGAAGGGCAGAGCGCTGATGAACAGCGTCAGGAACCACGTGAGCGACGCAGACGCCAGCGGAGAGAGGTCAGGAATACGCTCCGACAGCTCCGGCAGACGCTCGCGGATCAGCTCCTCCAACACCGACTGATCCACCTGAGCTCCTGACAGACAGGAAGTGACATCAGCAGCGTTACACCAGCCCAACCAAAGCACACACCTCACACACAACAGGAAGAGCGGAGGGAAGCTGCCTTCATTGTTTTCTAATTGTTTGTTTAATCTACAAATCACTCATCGTTTCTGTACATTAAATTTCAGGATTCCAGAAGTTTAAAGAGCTGAATATTATGCTGGGTTCTCACCTGATTTGCTACTTTTCTAATTAAAGTAATATATATTAAAAAAAACTTTAAAATGGTTTTATTTTAAAGCTAACTGCCAAGAAAGCATTTCATCAAGAACCCCATTTTCATTGTTTTTATTAACTTGACATACTAAAATAACTAGAACTGAAATAAAAATAATAGACATATTTAAAAAGAAAAAACCCCCACAACAGAACAGAACATAAAAAATTAAAACTATAATAGTATCTCAGTGATTCTGTTCAGAAATCAAAAGGAAAGAAAAACAATATTTTGCTAGACTTTTCCAGAGCTCAAGTTTAACCGTAGTTGATCCAAAGTGCTTTACATTAAAAATAAATCAGAATTATAAAAGAGAAAAAGAGGGTAGGAAAAAATAAAAGGACATAAACGGAGATAAAAAAAAAAAACAAGTATCAGAATCAATCAACAGAATAATCCCTTTTCTTTGTTCCTGTTAACAAGTTGTTAGTAGCAGCAGCACCCAGCAGAAGCACTTTTATTTTCATTCAGTTGCAGAGAGTTATTTGCCATCCAGGTCTTGACTTCATTAAGGCATGAAAAGAGATGATCTAATGAAAAGTCATTTCCTGGTTTGATTGGAAGATAGAGCTGAATGTCGTCAGCCTAACAATGATAAATTATGTTATGTTTCCGCAGTGTTGAGTCTAAAGGGAGCATGTAGAAAGAAAACAAAAGAGGGCCAAGAATAGATCCCTGTGGAACACCACAATGGTTAGGTGCAGGGGGTGAAGTAAATGACCCGATGTTTACAGAAAAAGTCCTCCGCTTTACGTACGAGGCGAACTACTGTGAAGCTAGGCCCTGAACCCTAACAACACGCTCGTGTCGTTTCAGAAGAATATTGTGAACAACCGTATCAAATGCGGCACTCAGATCTAAAAGTATGAGGATAGCAGATGACCCAGAATCAATGGACAGCAGAATGTCATTCGTAACTGAGCAATACTGCGCTCTAAAACAGTTGACAAAAACAGTTGCTGAGGGGTAAATTGAAATCTCTATCTTGCATTTTAGTTGTTTTAGCTTATTTTAATGCTTTTCGGTCTTATTTTAAATCTTTTTAAGACATCTTGAGGCCAACTAGTGGAGAACCACTTCTTCAAGCAAAATATTTTGATTTCTGAAAAGTATCGAGACTTTAAACTATTAACAGTTTTTATATTAAATTTATGTTTTCATTTTAATTTTAGTTAAAGTTTTACTAAATCTGTTGAGTGTTTTAGTCGTTTTTAGTAGTTTTTGGTAACACTACAATAAGGTCTCATTTGTTAACATTAGTTAATGCAATACTAATATGAACTAACAATGAACAATATGTTTTACAGCATTTATTAACCTTTGTTAATGTTCATCAAAACGTCCACGTTTGTGTTAGTTCACAGTGCATTAACTAATTTAACCAATTCAACTTTTGATTTCAATAAAGTATTAGTAAATGTTGAAATTAACTAATTAAGATTAATAAATGTTGTTAATATAAATAAATGGTTAAATTGTTAGTTCATGTTAACTGTTATAAAGCGGATAGTTCCGGTGCTTGATTCTGATTGGCTGAGCCGCGTTCGAAGCTGTTGTAAATTACTCTACAAAGTAACACACACCTTTGTTTACGTTTGTCTGTTGCTCGGCAACCACTTTGTTGCAACCACAACTGTTTCTGAGGAGCTACATTGTTTGGTGGAAGAATACTGTTTTTATTAATATCTTTACGCTTTATTTGCTCTGCTTTATTTTGTGAAACCTTACTACGTATATGGAATAACCGTTTTATAAAAGCAATAAGCCCCGTGAAGCCGTGGGTTACAGTGAATTTATAACAGCTAAGGGGCGTGGTTAGGCACTCCGCGAAGCGGATGATGAAAACAGAACAGACTTCTTGGGGCTTATTGCTTTAATGTAGCTAAGTAATGTTAACAAATGAACCATTGTAAAGTTTTTCCCTTTTTTTAACATGTCTATATAGTTTTTATTCATTTTTTTTTATTTTAGTACATCAAGTTTATCAACTAAATGAAAATAGCAACTAGCTGAAATATTTTTTTAAATATTTTATTTCAAGTAACAAGAATTTTAAAATGTAAAAATGTTTAACTATTTCTGAAATGTGAACTAGACCGTTTTTTTTGCGGTTCTCTGAGTCAGTGGCATTCAAAACATTTACAGAGCATTTACCACCGCAAACATCAGTCATTTAGAAGGGAACCAGACAGGTGTTCAGGTTGTAGAGAGATTGTGAAGCACACACCGATGACCCTGCGGTTGAAGTAGTCGGGCAGCATCCGCTCGCACACAGTGACCAGCAGCCAGAACGCTTCCTCTTCTTTAGTGTACAGGAGCATCACAGAGGCCAGGATGTTCATGGACTGCAGAGAACACACACATCAGCGGTCACATCCACCAACAACACCATCACAGTTCAGTTAATGCATGAGCTTTGTGTGGCTTTATCTGGTTTAGGGTTTTTATGATCTTCCGGGCACCTGACAGTAGGGGTGTGCGATATATATCGTCTGCGATTTGTTGCTTTAACGATGTGCAATTTGACATTATCGAGTATTTTGCAAAAGCCAAACAAAACACCTACGGAGTGCACACATACATTACGTGATGAAGTCTAGTGGGTTAAACAGTGCTCGTGCGCATTTAGAGTGTTCTTTCACTGCATGATTCAAGTCTATTCAAATGCATTAAGAAAGATCACAAAATTCAAGATATGGGGGCAGAAAATGTACATATTTATATCATTTCATATAGTTAAAAATCACACGAAGAATGCCGTTTTTTTTCTTCAAAAATAAGCATGATTACAAATGTGATACTGATTTTATACAACAGTTCAACAAACAATAATATTAAGAGACTTACGTTTTAGACACCATATTGCCTGTTTTTGCTCTATTTCGCCAACCAAAAATAATTTAAAAAAAGCCACAGCGCTGTTTTGCGTTTCTGAGCAACATGACGGCGTGAATGAATCAACCGTTTAAATGATTCGGTTCAATCGCGATGACTCACTTATTAACAGTGACTTGCTGCCACCTGCTGGCGGCTTTAATTTTACATTTAAAGTATTTAAAGTATTCAAACATCAGTATTCAATATTTTATGTTTAAAATATCAAAACATTATGCATTTGTAACTGCAGGTTAAAGCATTACGTGTCCCTCTGAGCTGAATTAAATTGAGCTGAATTAAATAGTGTGTAAATACATCTAAATGCCACTTCAGATGCAACTTTCATTTGTTTGGTAACCTAAATTACTTATTATTCTAATTGACTGATTAAATGTAACAATTTGACTCAAAAGATGCACACTTTTAGCAAAAAATACCCATAAAAGGTAAAAATCAGTTTAAACTTCTGATGTGAACTGACCACACAGAATGAAGAATATCAAAAACTGCAGATGTCCATGCTAGACAGATATAAGTAAATTGAGCTGAATTAAATAGTGTGTAAATACATCTAAATGCCACTTCAGATGCAACTTTCATTTGTTTGGTAACCTAAATTACTTATTATTCTAATTGACTGATTAAATGTAACAATTTGACTCAAAAGATGCACACTTTTAGCAAAAAATACCCATAAAAGGTAAAAATCAGTTTAAACTTCTGATGTGAACTGACCACACAGAATGAAGAATATCAAAAACTGCAGCTGTCCATGCTAGTCAGATATCAGCACAATAACACACTCGGCAAAATATCGTCTAATTATCGTTATCGAAAATATCGAGATATTTTTTCCCAATATCGCTACCTGGCAGTAGCCGATGGCGGGGTTTCTGAAGGCGTAGGCTGTGAGGACGCGGCGCAGCGCTGAGATCCCCGTCTCGTTCTGGAAGGCCGGATGCTCCGGCAGCGAGCGGTGCAGATCTCGCTCGATCTCCTCTGTGGCGATGCTGCTTTCCCCTCTGCATTTCTCCAGCAGATCCGCGTAGTAGTTGGGATGAGCTGCCAGCGAGGAACACGCGTCTGAGAGACGAGATGGAGAGATGGAGGATGTCACACACACACACACACACACACACACACAAATCAAAGTAAAACAAAGAAAGATGATGGTTGTAATTCTCCGTTTATCTAGAATGACTAAAGCGTTCTTCCCCAGAACTCTCTGATCGACACACACGGATTATTCCTCACTTTAAACACAGAAACAAGAATATGAGGATCCAAAAGACAATAATCACAATGTGTCTTGATGTTTTGTCTTGACTCGCCTGACACAAATAATAAAGATCAGATAATCACTCATAGGAACAAAAGTATATTTTAATACACATTAGGCGAAAATGGTCGTGAGAAATATTTATCAAACACTGAATTTCGGATCATGGGTTAACATGCAGAGGAATATTAACGACTACTAGATTTACATTTTTCATGATTTTTTTATTACAATTATTCAAGAAAATGAATACACTACTGGCCAAGAGTTTGGAATAATTAATATTTTTTAATGCTTTTGTAAGAAGTCTCTTCTGCTCACCAAGACTGCATTTATTTACTAAAATACTGTAAAAATAGTGAAATATTATTGTAATTTCAAACAGCTGTTTTCTATGTGAATCTCTGTTAAACTGTAATGTATTTCTGTGATGCGCAGCTGTATTTTCAGCATCATTACTCCAGTCTTCAGTGTCACATGATCTTCAGAAATCATTCTAATATGCTGATTTGCTGCTCAAGAAACCTTTCTGATTATTATCAATGTTGAAAACAGAAACCGTGATACATTTTATTTTTCAGGATTCACAGATGAACAGAAAGTTCAGAAGAGCAGCATTTATTTGAAACAGAAATATTTTGTAACATTATAAATGTCTTTCCTGTCACTTTTGATCAATTTAATGCGGCTTTGATGAATAAAAGTATCAATTTCTTTCTTTCTTTCTTTTTTTTTTGTTAACCTTACTTGCTCTAAACTTTTGAATGGTAATGTATCACGGTTAAATGCAGTCTTGGCGAGCAGAAGAGACTTCTTTCAAAATCATTAAAAAATCTGAATTATTCCCAACTTTTGATCAGTAGTGCAATTCATTTTAAAATTAGTTACATAATTGCAAAACATATGGGATGACTGTGCAGCATGTAATAAAACTCCAGTGCGTACAGAGCAGAGAACTCTAAATAAATAAGCAGATAAGAGCATTTATCTGAACATCTCTACAGAAAGCAGCAGAAGAGGAAGTGAGTCGTGCTCAGAGGCTTGAGTTGGACAAATATAGAGCGACTAAAAACACCATGGAAGTGACTTTCTTCTGTTCTGTGTCACCCTGTCCGCTTCTCTCTTTCTCTGTTTCAGTCTCTCACCGGAGAAGTTGAGCCACAGCTCTCCGCGCAGAGACTCGGGGATCCCCAGCGCCACCAGCTTACGGATCTTATCCGTGCGAAACATGTGAACGCCGCGACCGAACTCGGTGAAGTGTTCCTCCCACAAACGCTCTCGAACCTGCTCCGTGTTCTGATGGACACAAAAACATCTTCAGCCCACAATTCAACAAAAAGAGAAATTATTTGCATAACTGCGTTTTGCATAAAGCATACTTTTAGAACACTTAAAGGGACAGTTCACCCAAAAATGCAAATTCTGTTATTTACTCTCCCTCAAGCTGTTCCAAACCTGTATGAGTTTCTTTCTGCTGTTGAACACAAAAGAAGAGATTCTGAAGAATGCTGGCTGGCAGCCGCTGAAGTCAATGCGGACCAGTTTGGTTACCAACATATTTGGAACAACATGAGTGTGAGAAAATGATGACAAAATATTATTTTTTTTAGTGAAGATTTTTTGTATTGTGACATTATTTTTTTTAAACACATTTTACCCCCAAACTCTCATTACTGTAATGCATTCATTTTAAAGTTCATTTTTATTTATTGATTGATTTGAATACAGACAGTACAGAAAATAAATAAAAAAATTGATTCCAGCCATAAGCTGAAAAATATGCATCGTACATAACGAGTATAACATATGCTAATTATATAATTAGAATTATTAAAAAATAGAAATAATCTGATTGTAATTAATTCTTTGATTTTGGTGTGAAATAAGACTAAAACATCTTCATTATGTATTGTAACGGTGTACCAGGGTTGCTACAGTTAATTAAAACTAAAACTGAAGCTAAAATTAAAACCATAAAAAAGTGTTACTCTTTTTCTTTTTTTTTTTCTTTTTTTTTTAAGTCTTTTTTAACTTGATGCACCAAACTAACTGAAATAAAAATGAATAAAAACTATACAGACAAATAAAAAAAAAAATACTAAAAATGACAAAAAAAATACTATATATAAAAATACTTTTTTTTTTTTTACTAAAACTGCTAATAGCATCTGAAAGTGACCCTGCTGTGTGCAGAGATCTTGGTCAGGCTGGTGTTACTCACACTGGTCTTGTTCGGAGCGTCTGATTGGCTGGGGTGGAATGTGGACACGAGGTCGGTGTGGACGGTGTGACGCAGAGCTTTATCAGAGATGATGACGCTGCTGTCCTCCTCATCTGATTGGACGGTGTCGTAACAGAAGGTGTAGTATGGTGTGGAGGAGATCTAGAGAGCAGAAAACACACGCTGCGTTATAAGAGCCGCTGAACACAGAATGCGTTATTTAGTGTTCATCTCCATATATACACTACCGCTCAAAAGTTTGGGATCAGTAAGACTTAAAGACGTCTCTTCTGCTCATCAAGGCTGCATTTATTTGATCAAAAATACAGAAAAAAAACAGTAATCTTGCAAAATGTTATTACAACATAAAATAATTAAAAAAATATTAAGCAGCGCAACTGTTTCCAGCACTGATAATAAATCAGCATATTAGAATGATTTCTGAAGATCATGTGACACTGAAGACTGGAGTAATGATGCTGAAAATACAGCTGCGCATCACAGAAATAAATTATATTTTAATGTATATTAAAATAGAAAAGCGTTATTTTACATCATAATAATATTTCACAATATTATAGTTTCCTGTATTTCTGATCAAGTAAATGCAGCCTTGATGAGCAGAAGAGACTCCTGTAAAAAACATTAAAATCATTCCGATCCCAAACTTTTGACCGGTAGTGTCTCTGCTAAATGTGTATGTTCAGTATCATGTGCAGTGATGATCAAGCCTTCCATCAATTATTACTAGTGACCTGTTCTAATATGTAGAAAGGTTTGAGCGGTTTTTAAATGTCAGTGAAACCTCACTGAGATCTCTTAACTCAGCTGAAGAACCTTTGACGGATTAAACTAGAGATGGTCAAACCGAGAGCTTCAGTACTCAGGAGTACCGTGGATTTCTTGCGCTGCTCGTGTCCGCAGATCAAGTTCTGTTTCCAGTGCAGATCTCGCAGCCGGTGCCTGATGTTCTCCACCAGCTCGTCCCGATGGAGCAGCTCGATCAGCTGGAACGCTCGCTTACAGCGGACGCTAATGATGACGGGGTTAGGAAGAGCGCTGGTGCTCTCCGCTTTCTCAATGGAGAGGATCTGCACACACATTAATAAGGGTTTGCATTAACACATCATCTCTGCTCACTGAAGAAATCCTGCGTGAGCTTAAAAACTGAGCCTGGTTTCCTGATGGGAGTTTGGGTTCACTGTCACGGTCACCTTTGGCTTGATCAGTGGGGGCTTAAAATATAGTTAATATTCAGTCATATTATTGATTCGACTGCACTGACAAGATCTCGAAAAATTTGGACTGAGTTGATCTGAAGAATGACTCTATTGTCTTCTGTAGAGCTGCTTTACAAGTTTGTTTCATAACTGATGGACGTCTTAAAACATTAACACTGTTATTTTCCTGTTTATCACTGCGAAGCTGCTTTGAAATCTGTATTGTATAAAGTGCTGTAGAAATCAATGTGAACTGACTAGACTAAAACATTCTTAATGTAGTACCTTGTTACTATTTATGCTTATTACTCTTCTAAATTAGGAAATAGTGAATAAATCAATGAATTAGAAAGTGTTTAATTTTCTGAGATGAGCTAAATGTCCTCATTAAAAGATCAAAACGTCATTATTGATACATTTATCATAATTTTGTGGTGCTTTTTACCCTTATTGATACATTTATTATTATTTTAAGATGTTTTATGTCCTTATTGATAGATTTGTGATACTTTTATTGTGCTTTTTGTCCTTATTGATACATTTATGATACTTTTTGTCCTTATTGATACATTTATCATATTTTTTTCCTTATTGATACATTTTTTGTCCTTAATGATACTTTTATGATACTTTTTGTGCTTATTGATACATTTATGATATTTTTTTCCTTATTGATACATTTTATATTTTTTCCCTTATTGATACATTTATGATATTTTTTTCCTTATTGATACATTTTTGTCCTTATTGATACATTTATATTTTTTCCCTTATTGATACATTTATGATATTTTTTGTCCTTATTGATACATTTATATTTTTTCCCTTATTGATACATTTATGATATTTTTTGTCCTTATTGATACATTTATATTTTTTCCCTTATTGATACATTTATGATATTTTTTGTCCTTATTGATACATTTATATTTTTTCCCTTATTGATACATTTATGATATTTTTTGTCCTTATTGATACATTTATATTTTTTCCCTTATTGATACATTTATGATATTTTTTGTCCTTATTGATACATTTATATTTTTTCCCTTATTGATACATTTATGATATTTTTTGTCCTTATTGATACATTTATATTTTTTCCCTTATTGATACATTTATGATATTTTTTGTCCTTATTGATACATTTATATTTTTTCCCTTATTGATACATTTATGATATTTTTTGTCCTTATTGATACATTTATATTTTTTCCCTTATTGATACATTTATGATATTTTTTGTCCTTATTGATACATTTATATTTTTTCCCTTATTGATACATTTATGATATTTTTTGTCCTTATTGATACATTTATATTTTTTCCCTTATTGATACATTTATGATATTTTTTGTCCTTATTGATACATTTATATTTTTTCCCTTATTGATACATTTATGATATTTTTTGTCCTTATTGATACATTTATATTTTTTCCCTTATTGATACATTTATGATATTTTTTGTCCTTATTGATACATTTATATTTTTTCCCTTATTGATACATTTATGATATTTTTTGTCCTTATTGATACATTTATATTTTTTCCCTTATTGATACATTTATGATATTTTTTGTCCTTATTGATACATTTATATTTTTTCCCTTATTGATACATTTATGATATTTTTTGTCCTTATTGATACATTTATATTTTTTCCCTTATTGATACATTTATGATATTTTTTGTCCTTATTGATACATTTATATTTTTTCCCTTATTGATACATTTATGATATTTTTTGTCCTTATTGATACATTTATATTTTTTCCCTTATTGATACATTTATGATATTTTTTGTCCTTATTGATACATTTATATTTTTTCCCTTATTGATACATTTATGATATTTTTTGTCCTTATTGATACATTTATATTTTTTCCCTTATTGATACATTTATGATATTTTTTGTCCTTATTGATACATTTATATTTTTTCCCTTATTGATACATTTATGATATTTTTTGTCCTTATTGATACATTTATATTTTTTCCCTTATTGATACATTTATGATATTTTTTGTCCTTATTGATACATTTATATTTTTTCCCTTATTGATACATTTATGATATTTTTTGTCCTTATTGATACATTTATATTTTTTCCCTTATTGATACATTTATGATATTTTTTGTCCTTATTGATACATTTATATTTTTTCCCTTATTGATACATTTATGATATTTTTTGTCCTTATTGATACATTTATATTTTTTCCCTTATTGATACATTTATGATATTTTTTGTCCTTATTGATACATTTATATTTTTTCCCTTATTGATACATTTATGATATTTTTTGTCCTTATTGATACATTTATATTTTTTCCCTTATTGATACATTTATGATATTTTTTGTCCTTATTGATACATTTATATTTTTTCCCTTATTGATACATTTATGATATTTTTTGTCCTTATTGATACATTTATATTTTTTCCCTTATTGATACATTTATGATATTTTTTGTCCTTATTGATACATTTATATTTTTTCCCTTATTGATACATTTATGATATTTTTTGTCCTTATTGATACATTTATATTTTTTCCCTTATTGATACATTTATGATATTTTTTGTCCTTATTGATACATTTATATTTTTTCCCTTATTGATACATTTATGATATTTTTTGTCCTTATTGATACATTTATATTTTTTCCCTTATTGATACATTTATGATATTTTTTGTCCTTATTGATACATTTATATTTTTTCCCTTATTGATACATTTATGATATTTTTTGTCCTTATTGATACATTTATATTTTTTCCCTTATTGATACATTTATGATATTTTTTGTCCTTATTGATACATTTATATTTTTTCCCTTATTGATACATTTATGATATTTTTTGTCCTTATTGATACATTTATATTTTTTCCCTTATTGATACATTTATGATATTTTTTGTCCTTATTGATACATTTATATTTTTTCCCTTATTGATACATTTATGATATTTTTTGTCCTTATTGATACATTTATATTTTTTCCCTTATTGATACATTTATGATATTTTTTGTCCTTATTGATACATTTATATTTTTTCCCTTATTGATACATTTATGATATTTTTTGTCCTTATTGATACATTTATATTTTTTCCCTTATTGATACATTTATGATATTTTTTGTCCTTATTGATACATTTATATTTTTTCCCTTATTGATACATTTATGATATTTTTTGTCCTTATTGATACATTTATATTTTTTCCCTTATTGATACATTTATGATATTTTTTGTCCTTATTGATACATTTATATTTTTTCCCTTATTGATACATTTATGATATTTTTTGTCCTTATTGATACATTTATATTTTTTCCCTTATTGATACATTTATGATATTTTTTGTCCTTATTGATACATTTATATTTTTTCCCTTATTGATACATTTATGATATTTTTTGTCCTTATTGATACATTTATATTTTTTCCCTTATTGATACATTTATGATATTTTTTGTCCTTATTGATACATTTATATTTTTTCCCTTATTGATACATTTATGATATTTTTTGTCCTTATTGATACATTTATATTTTTTCCCTTATTGATACATTTATGATATTTTTTGTCCTTATTGATACATTTATATTTTTTCCCTTATTGATACATTTATGATATTTTTTGTCCTTATTGATACATTTATATTTTTTCCCTTATTGATACATTTATGATATTTTTTGTCCTTATTGATACATTTATATTTTTTCCCTTATTGATACATTTATGATATTTTTTGTCCTTATTGATACATTTATATTTTTTCCCTTATTGATACATTTATGATATTTTTTGTCCTTATTGATACATTTATATTTTTTCCCTTATTGATACATTTATGATATTTTTTGTCCTTATTGATACATTTATATTTTTTCCCTTATTGATACATTTATGATATTTTTTGTCCTTATTGATACATTTATATTTTTTCCCTTATTGATACATTTATGATATTTTTTGTCCTTATTGATACATTTATATTTTTTCCCTTATTGATACATTTATGATATTTTTTGTCCTTATTGATACATTTATATTTTTTCCCTTATTGATACATTTATGATATTTTTTGTCCTTATTGATACATTTATATTTTTTCCCTTATTGATACATTTATGATATTTTTTGTCCTTATTGATACATTTATATTTTTTCCCTTATTGATACATTTATGATATTTTTTGTCCTTATTGATACATTTATATTTTTTCCCTTATTGATACATTTATGATATTTTTTGTCCTTATTGATACATTTATATTTTTTCCCTTATTGATACATTTATGATATTTTTTGTCCTTATTGATACATTTATATTTTTTCCCTTATTGATACATTTATGATATTTTTTGTCCTTATTGATACATTTATATTTTTTCCCTTATTGATACATTTATGATATTTTTTGTCCTTATTGATACATTTATATTTTTTCCCTTATTGATACATTTATGATATTTTTTGTCCTTATTGATACATTTATATTTTTTCCCTTATTGATACATTTATGATATTTTTTGTCCTTATTGATACATTTATATTTTTTCCCTTATTGATACATTTATGATATTTTTTGTCCTTATTGATACATTTATATTTTTTCCCTTATTGATACATTTATGATATTTTTTGTCCTTATTGATACATTTATATTTTTTCCCTTATTGATACATTTATGATATTTTTTGTCCTTATTGATACATTTATATTTTTTCCCTTATTGATACATTTATGATATTTTTTGTCCTTATTGATACATTTATATTTTTTCCCTTATTGATACATTTATGATATTTTTTGTCCTTATTGATACATTTATATTTTTTCCCTTATTGATACATTTATGATATTTTTTGTCCTTATTGATACATTTATATTTTTTCCCTTATTGATACATTTATGATATTTTTTGTCCTTATTGATACATTTATATTTTTTCCCTTATTGATACATTTATGATATTTTTTGTCCTTATTGATACATTTATATTTTTTCCCTTATTGATACATTTATGATATTTTTTGTCCTTATTGATACATTTATATTTTTTCCCTTATTGATACATTTATGATATTTTTTGTCCTTATTGATACATTTATATTTTTTCCCTTATTGATACATTTATGATATTTTTTGTCCTTATTGATACATTTATATTTTTTCCCTTATTGATACATTTATGATATTTTTTGTCCTTATTGATACATTTATATTTTTTCCCTTATTGATACATTTATGATATTTTTTGTCCTTATTGATACATTTATATTTTTTCCCTTATTGATACATTTATGATATTTTTTGTCCTTATTGATACATTTATATTTTTTCCCTTATTGATACATTTATGATATTTTTTGTCCTTATTGATACATTTATATTTTTTCCCTTATTGATACATTTATGATATTTTTTGTCCTTATTGATACATTTATATTTTTTCCCTTATTGATACATTTATGATATTTTTTGTCCTTATTGATACATTTATATTTTTTCCCTTATTGATACATTTATGATATTTTTTTCCTTATTGATACATTTTTGTCCTTATTGATACATTTATGATACTTTTTGTCCTTATTGACACATTTATGATACTTTTTGTCCTTATCGATACATTTATGATACTTTCATGATACTTTTTGTCCTTATTGATACATTTATGATATTTTTATGATGCTGTTTGTCCTTGATACTTTTATGATACTTTTTTTCCTTATTGATACATTTTTGTCCTTATTGATACATTTATGATACTTTTTCCTTATTGATACATTTTTGTCCTTATTGATACATTTATGATACTTTCATGATACTTTTTGTTCTTATTGATACATTTATGATACTTTATAATGCTTTTGTCCTTATTGACACATTTATAAAACTTTTATGGTGCTTTTTTGTCCTTTTAGGAGCTTGAAAGTAGCTAAACGAAAAGAACCCAGAGCAGAAAGTTAATTTCTGTGTGAGCTCTTCCTATAGCAGCTGATGATCTCTGACTGCTGTGTGCTGGCGTCTGTACCTCTGTGAGGGGTATGATGAGAGTACAATGGCCCTCCTCACGGCTGCTGAAGCACAGATACCCATCTGTGGTGTAGACGGTGCCCGGCGTGTGGCAGCGGGCGTGAGGAGTCCAAACCAAGCATGACATCACTTCCTGCAGACGCTCGGCCCGCGGCAAGCCAAAGAGAGAGAGCACGTACTGCCTGAGAGCCTGTTCCTCCAACACCCTGTGAGACACAAACATACACAACCAGTTCATGCATCAGACTACAGGAAAATGCCGAAGACTTCAGAGGATCTGACCATTAAAGTCAATACAACTAGAGGCCAAACGATTGATCCGTTTTGGCGATTAACCGGCACCGATAGTCGATTGCTGGAACTATCGGCAAAAATCCATGCCGATAGTTTCTCCGGGTTGCGTCCATTGCTGGAGCGCTGAGAAGATCCGCAGTCATTATACAGTACGAGAGCGGCCTCTAGAGGCGAATCACAGACAGCACGTGCTGTTTGTTTTGACACGTGCTGGTTTAAAACAGACAACGAAAGGGTGTGTACAGTGCATACTACAGTGCATGTTTTCATATCATTACTAAGTACCGTATTGGCCCGAATATAAGACGACCCTGATTATAAGACGACCCCCCTTTTTCCAGATGTACCTTTTGGAAAAAGGCTTTTTAAAAACCAAATCTTGTTTTTTCTCAGTAAAACACATTTTGTCTTCAATTATTTTCATATTGCATATTTTTCCTATTTTAATTTTTGTTTTGAAAGTATGGTAAAAACTGGTAAAATGTACCAACAATCACATTTAAAAAATATACACTTTTTGATATACCATAAAAAAAATTAAAAAAACAGGTAGCCCATCTGAATTAGGACATTTAGGCTATCCATCTAATAGTAGCCTACCAAAATCTTATTAACAGTAGAAGTTAAATCTTACTGTGGTCTTCAAATCTGGGTACTGTCTTACGTTTTAAAATCACAAAGGGAGTTTGGTCCCATCAGGCTAACGTGACAGTCACGACTCATGCAGCTGTAAGCTTTTCTTTTTCTTTTGTTTTTACTCGCGATCTTTACAATTTGTCCTTATTGATACATTTATGATACTTTCATGATACTTTTTGTTCTTATTGATACATTTATGATACTTTATAATGCTTTTGTCCTTATTGACACATTTATAAAACTTTTATGGTGCTTTTTTGTCCTTTTAGGAGCTTGAAAGTAGCTAAACGAAAAGAACCCAGAGCAGAAAGTTAATTTCTGTGTGAGCTCTTCCTATAGCAGCTGATGATCTCTGACTGCTGTGTGCTGGCGTCTGTACCTCTGTGAGGGGTATGATGAGAGTACAATGGCCCTCCTCACGGCTGCTGAAGCACAGATACCCATCTGTGGTGTAGACGGTGCCCGGCGTGTGGCAGCGGGCGTGAGGAGTCCAAACCAAGCATGACATCACTTCCTGCAGACGCTCGGCCCGCGGCAAGCCAAAGAGAGAGAGCACGTACTGCCTGAGAGCCTGTTCCTCCAACACCCTGTGAGACACAAACATACACAACCAGTTCATGCATCAGACTACAGGAAAATGCCGAAGACTTCAGAGGATCTGACCATTAAAGTCAATACAACTAGAGGCCAAACGATTGATCCGTTTTGGCGATTAACCGGCACCGATAGTCGATTGCTGGAACTATCGGCAAAAATCCATGCCGATAGTTTCTCCGGGTTGCGTCCATTGCTGGAGCGCTGAGAAGATCCGCAGTCATTATACAGTACGAGAGCGGCCTCTAGAGGCGAATCACAGACAGCACGTGCTGTTTGTTTTGACACGTGCTGGTTTAAAACAGACAACGAAAGGGTGTGTACAGTGCATACTACAGTGCATGTTTTCATATCATTACTAAGTACCGTATTGGCCCGAATATAAGACGACCCTGATTATAAGACGACCCCCCTTTTTCCAGATGTACCTTTTGGAAAAAGGCTTTTTAAAAACCAAATCTTGTTTTTTCTCAGTAAAACACATTTTGTCTTCAATTATTTTCATATTGCATATTTTTCCTATTTTAATTTTTGTTTTGAAAGTATGGTAAAAACTGGTAAAATGTACCAACAATCACATTTAAAAAATATACACTTTTTGATATACCATAAAAAAAATTAAAAAAACAGGTAGCCCATCTGAATTAGGACATTTAGGCTATCCATCTAATAGTAGCCTACCAAAATCCAAAATACAAAGTCTAGACCCTGAATATAAGACGACCGCGTTTTTTCAGATGTATTTCCAAGAAAAAAACAACGTCTTATATTCGGGTCAATACGGTAATTAATTTGTTGACTAGATGCTGCATTAGTGGAAAAAAGAACAGCAGTGTGTTTGCTCTCAAGGCTGAGAGAATGCGAACATTAGCAGCACCTCAAATGGTTAAAACAATGTGACCAAAACACACGCGAGTCTGACCCAAATGTTTAATGTCACGATTGTTACCATCTATTTGCATTAGTTTATATCCAGCTGGTCACTGTAATGCATTTGTTAACTGTATTTAAAGCTAGTGACGTGAGAAAGCAAATTGTACATAATGACTTCACCCTAGGCGGGAAGATTGTGTATTGTGCATTTTTAAGCGAAACATTTGTCTTTCTGTGAACTATGAACTAACTTTAACGATCAATATGTAATTAATATTTAATGTTAATATGTTTATTCATTTACAAAGTATGGTTCAGTACTTTTTGTTTGTTTGTTTTTTGTTTTTTTTAACTATCGTGGGTTAATTGGTATCGGCCAGTGTGGTCCAACATAGCTATCAGTAAAATCTGCCAGTTGGCCTCTAAATACAACTGCTGTTTATTTGTAGATCTGAAATGGATGAAAGATTCTGATCAAAGCAGCAGAGAACAAAACCACTGCTCTATAAATACACATGCAGCTACACATGCAAATGCAGTTTTCACACCCAACGCACGGCCCACAGCACCAGCACGGGTTTACATGCAGTCGCAAACCACAGACTCATGACTTGTGCTTATTTCTCTTAACCATTCATCATCCATTAACAGCTCTGATGCAGCTGCCGTTCTGAATCTGTTGTAATTTGATTCACAACCATCATCATCTCTATATTCTGCAGACTGTTGTTCTCTGTTCTGCTTTACTTGTTTTCACTGTCTTTCTCGTACCAGAACTTCTCTTTTAGTGAAGGAAGTATATGATAATCACATCCCTGCTGATGATTGGCTGGATAGAAAGTAAGTACTATTCAATGAGGCCCATAAAACAGATTCACAACAGGTTCACTGATGTCTTACTTTATTACAACTGATGTGATAATAGATGTGGTGCAGATGGGAAGCAGTTTTAGATGCGATTACAGATGTAGATGTGATTGCACATGTAGGTGTGATTGCAGATGTAGATGTGATGTAGATGTGATTGCAGGTGTAGATGTGATTGCAGATGTAGGTGTGATTGCAGATGTAGGTGTGATGTAGATGTGATTGCAGATGTAGGTGTGATTGCAGATGTAGGTGTGATTGCAGATGTAGGTGTGATTGCACGTGTGATTGCAGGTGTAGATGTGATTGCACGTGATTGCAGATGTAGGTGTGATTGCACGTGTGATTGCAGGTGTAGATGTGATTGCACGTGATTGCAGATGTAGGTGTGATTGCACGTGTGATTGCAGATGTAGATGTGATTGCATGTGTGATTGCAGATATAGATGTGATGTAGATGTGATTGCAGATGTAGATGTGATTGCATGTGCGATTGCAGATATAGATGTGATGTAGATGTGATTGCAGATGTAGATGTGATTGCATGTGTGATTGCACGTGTGATTGCAGATGTAGATGTGACTGCACATGTGATTGCAGATGTAGATGTGATTGCAGGTGTAGATGTGATTGCATCTGTGATTGCATGTGACTGCAGATGTAGGTGTGATTGCACGTGTGATTGCAGATGTAGATGTGATTGCAGATGTGATTGCAGGTGTGATTGCAGATGTAGATGTGATTGCATGTGATTGCAGATATAGATGTGATTGCAAATGTAGATGTGATTGCACGTGTGATTGCAGGTGTAGATGTGATTGCAGATGTAGATGTGATTGCACATGTGATTGCAGATGTAGATGTGATTGCACGTGTGATTGCAGGTGTAGATGTGATTGCAGATGTAGATGTGATGTAGATGTGATTGCAGATGTAGATGTGATTGCACATGTGATTGCAGATGTAGATGTGATGTAGATGTGATTACAGATGTAGATGTGATTGCAGGTGTAGATGTAGATGTCATTGCATATGTAAGATGTGTTTGCAGGTATAGATGTGATGTAGATGCGACTGCAGATGTAGATGTGATTGCATGTGTGATTGCACATGTGATTGCAGATGTAGATGTGATGTGATTGCTGGTGTAGATGTGGTTGCAGATATAGATGTGACGTAGATGTGATTGCACGTGTGATTGCAGGTATAGATGTGATGTAGATGTGATTGCACATGTGATTGCAGATATACATGTGACGTAGATGTGATTGCACGTGATTGCAGATATAGATGTGACGTAGATGTGATTGCATGTGTGATTGCACGTGTGATTGCAGGTGTAGATGTGATGTAGATGTAGATGTGATGTAGATGTGATTGCACATGTAGATACGACAGTAGATGTAGATGTGATGTAAATGTGATTTCAGATGTAGACATAATTGCAGATGTGATGCAGATGTTCACCTCTTGGTTATGTTGGTGGAGTCCTGCAGTGACTGGTCGAGTGTGAGTCCACCGCTGTCCAGCAGCCTGCGGAGGGCGATATCAGCCAGCTGACACATGACCCTCATCACCTCGTCCACGTTCAGAAACATGGAGAAATCCCTCTGTTTCCGTCTCGTGTGAACACGGATCACATCCGTCAGCAAACCCACCGACACACGTTCCAGCCGCGTCACTTCAGCCCACGGAACTAACAGCTTCACTGAGCACAAATACAACACGCATGAGTTACACACACAGCACAAAGATGCCAGAAGTGGTCAAATGACAGCATTTAATTCATTTCCTCACCCTCTTTGCCCAGTAGGAATGAGTAGAAGGCGATGTGGTTGGTGGTGAGGTACAGTGAGCCCTGGCGCGGCACGTGGCCCTTCCAGCAGCAGCAGGAGTAATGCGTCACCAGTTTCTCTCGCTGAGGGAGTCCGAAGCGCTGCTCGAACCGTGCCAGATCTTCCCGAAAGCGTGCCGGATCATCCTCCCGTGCAGCCTGACCGCCCAAAACCTCCTCCGCGATTAAACCCTACATAGAAACACAGAGACATTCAAAGTCTGAACTGAATGTAATGTTTGTGTGAGTCTGTGGAGAGGCCGTACTTTCACTTTGCCCTGCACAAAACTGGCAGCGTCTTCTTTATTCTCAAGCACAGCCATGTACGGCAGCAGGTTCTGATCCAGCCATTTCCAGTGTTTCTGCACCTCCTCTATCGTGGCTCCTGTAAGCACACATAGATAATAACTTAATTGATTTCTTAATGTTTTATGCCTTCATTTGATTACCAGCATTTTGATAATGAATTTGTAAAATAATAAACATAAAAAATAAAACATTTCTCAGGGCACTATTACTGTAAAAAAAATTGTAATGAATACAGTATATAAATTGTTACAATTTTATGAATTCAATCGATCTGACATGCTTTTTGATTATTAAAATAATTAAACCATTAAAACGGAATCCAGAAAAAATAAAACAGAAAACAGGAATTTGGGAAAAATAAAACAACATTTGGGAACTTTTACTCAATTAAACACATTTCATGATTTCAATTAATTAGACTTGCTTTTTGATGACTAAAATTGAATTTAACCATTAAAATTGAATACAGAAAAATTAATACGGAAAAAAGCATTACAAAAAACTAAAATTGAAACAGAACTCGGGGGAAAAAAAAAAACACACAGATAATGCGATCACACACATGTGCAAGTGACTGCATAACACACTGGTGCTTATGAAGAGAGGGTGTCACACGAGCGTGAGAGATGCAAACACACTGAACATAAGCTCTCACCGCTGGCTATGACCCAGCTGACCTGCGACCCGGGAACATGCAGAACGATCCGGAACGGGGCCACGCGCGCATTTGAGTCCAGCACGGTGTCCAGCGCGCCCACCAGCAAACCTGCAACACACACACACAGCACTGAATTTTGAAATAAATTGAAATATAACACTATAATAATATACTAATATAGCACTTAGTAAATTATTGCTCTTTTGTTGGTTTTGATTGCTTCTATTGTCCTCATTTGTTAGTCGCTTTGGATAAAAGTGTCTGCTAAATAACAAAATTTAAATATAATGCAAATGTAAATAAGCAAACTAAACTGAAATTTTAAAACAAGCCCCAAATCAAATAAATAAGTAACACAAACTTAATTGATTTCTTAATGTTTTATGCCTTCATTTGATTACCAGCATTTTGATAATGAATTTGTAATATAAATCCCCCCCCAAAAAAGAAAACTGACAACACAATTTCTGAAAAAAATAAACAGTTCATATGGCCCTATTATTGTAAAAATAAAACAAGTAAATGTTTTATGAATGCAACTGATTAGATATGATTTTTGATTATTAAAATTTAAACCATTAAAATGTGATTCAGAAAATTTAAAATGGAACTTTTAATAAATTGTTAAATTGCAAAAGTTTAGTGACTTCAATTAATTAGACATGCGTTCTGATTATTTAATAATAAATTTAATAATATTATTTAATAATAAAATTGACTCTAGAAAAATTACACCCTAAACCCTAGTACATCCCTACAACTTATTTTATTTTATTCTATTCCTATTCCATCTATAGCACACCTGTACATACAATTTATTCTTTTTTTGTGGTCTCCGTGTACTGGAAGCTTGTGACACTATAACAAATTCCTTGTATGTGCAAACATACTTGGCAATAAAGCTCTTTCTGATACAGAGGCAAGATGAAAAGAAAAAATACCATCTAAACTTTTCTAAAGACAGTAAGTTCCCCTCAGACATACATTCATATAAACTCATGCCCCTAATTGAATCGCGATTTGTTTAGCATCTCAACCTATTTGAATCGTCACATATTTGAATCGATTTTCAACCGGCTCGCTGTTAATCGTTACATCCCTAATGAAATGTAATATTATATTACATTACAACAATTTATATTGCTGCAGAGTGACGTGAGAGAACGATAAATCCAGAAAAATTAAAGCAGACAAAACCGAAATTCTAAAAAAATAATAATAATTCTTAGGGCACTATTGTAAAAATTGTAAAAACAAAATTATGAAATTGTTAAGGTTTTAGGAATTCAACTGATGAGACATGCTTTGTGATTATTAAAATGTAATTAAACCATTAAAAAAAAACAGGAATTTGGGGTAAATGAAACAGAATTTGGGAACTTTTAATAAATTGCATGCATTTCATGATTTTAATTAATGAGACATGCGTAAACATTAAAATGGGATAGATAGATAGATAGATAGATAGATCTTTATTTAAAGACTTTAAATAAATTGTTGGCAAATTGTAGTTTCATTAAAGTTTCATGATTCAATTAATTAGGCATGATTATGATTACTAAAATTGACTTTTACCATGAAAATGTAATACTGAAAAATTTAATATGAAAAAAAAAAGAATTTGTGAATTTATGCAAACAGAATTTATGGGGAAAAAAAATAAGACAGATTTGAAAGGGATCCAAACATAGCCCCTAAATGAAACAACCACTTTTCTCCAAAACCTCATCCTCCAAAAGCATGACAGTCTCAGCGCTATTTCACGGATATCAGTCAATACAGTATTAATGTTTTATGCTGCTACACATGAATTCAGTACTGCGGTGTTGTTGATGAATGTGTGTGTTTATAAGAGCACAGCTGTGTGCCACAGGAGTTATTATTATACCACACTTCATATGGCCTGATCTAACATCAGCATGAGAACGTTTCACTTTCGTATTCGAACTGCAGTCACCCGAATCAACACAAATCACCCGAGCAGAACAGACTCACAGCAATGCTGATCAGTGTGGAATAAAGCACTACACATGTTTACAGTGGTCGGTCATGATCAGCCTGTTCTGAAACACACATGAGGATTCCTGAAGTAAAACAACGCTATTTTCTCTATGCAAAAACCTGAAGCATTTAGATCACTCTGCTGTGAACTGCATGAAAACACGCCTTTCTATTGAGCTGCACAAAAAACAAACACAGCATGAGCGGTCAAATGACTCGATTCCTTTAATAAATGATTCAAAAAGTTGTCGGTTTGAATCAGTCTGATGAATCCTTCACTGAATGGGATCACTGAATTAATGAATATTTAGCAAATACCATGGTGTTTCATTCTTATAACCGGTGACATATTCAACAGAACATGATTGTGATTTGATTCAGTCTCGTCTTTGCTTGCTTTGAATCAAAAGCTGGCTGGTTTGGTTCATAAAGTCTTTTTATATTTACAGTATAACGCAGAATTTTGCATGAAATAAATAAAAAGTAGGGTTGTACAATGACTCAAATTGAGGCTAGTGTGTGTGAATATTAAAGCAAAAAAATACTGCTATTGAAACATTAAATCTGCATGTTCTGCATGCCTCTGATTTCATTTTATTGTGTTTTAATAGATTAATTAAATTGTTAATGTTTATACTAACTTTATGAGTTGTTTATACTAACTTTATATCAAATCATAAATCCAGAAAAATTAACCCCACATTTCTGAAAAATAAAACATTTCTTAGTTCCCTATTGTGGTAAAACTAATGAATTATGAAACTGTTAAAGTTTTATGAATTCAATAATTGACAAGACGTGCTTTTTGATTATTAAAATTTAATTAAAACATTAAAACAGAAAAAAAAAAAAAAGGAAAACACTGGAAAAACAAATAATCAATCAATCAATCATAGGGCCATAATAATGTAATTTTTGAAAAATCACATTTAAAAAAATGTGGGAAAAAAGAACAGAATTTATGCAAACATAAAAGACAGCACAGAACTTCTTAAATAAAACATTTCATAGGGCCCTGTTATTATTATTATTATTATTATTGTAACAATTCAACTGATTAAACATGGTTTTTTATTAAAATTTTATTAAACCATTGAAACGGAATTTTGGGGGGAAAATGAATTTGGAAACTATTAATAAATTGTTGTTAAATTGTATGAGTTTCTATGATTTTAATTAACTAGACATGCTTTCTGATTGCTTAAATTTGAATTTAACCATTAAACTACAGACACAAATGAGCCAGGAGTACAGAGCTAGAAAATGTGCTCAGCTCATCTGTTCTGGAAAAAGCAGAATATGTTCATATCGAGATCTCAGATGACTGCAGAATTCTCATTTTTCATGGAAGATCAGACTGTTTCACACTCATACAACGCTGTAAATCAGCACACACAGTAAAATCACACACGCGGTTATTAAGCTCATTTTTGATGGCGTCACACATCATAATCCACCAGCCAATCAAACGCGCTCACATCTGCTGGACTTTCATCAGAACAGCACAAGATCACGTTTCTATGTCTGGAAACGCTCAGCGGGAGACAATAAGAGTCTGATGTTTGCCATTCCTGATCCTGTCCACACAACAAACAGAGAAAGAGAAAGAGGAGAACACAAATAACCGGCTCTCCTTCTCACACTCACACACACTCACTCTCACACTCATAGACACACAGACACAAACAGACACTCACAGGGTTTGAAATTAACACCCGCCAACCCGCCAAATGTGGGTAAAAATCAGCTGTGGCGGGTATCGTGGATTTAGTGCGTGCGCTTTTATGGTGCGCTCTTTCACTGCATGATTCAGTCTATTAATAGGCTATGCATTAACAATGATCACATACTTCAAGATAAGGAGGCAGAAAATGTATATATTTATATCAGTTCATATAGTTAATCAATATCACACGAAGTATACACACGTCCTGAGGGTAACGCTCCCCTTTACGGTCCAGACCTACGAGGAGAGTTATAACACAACACTAACTGTTTGATTTATAACCCAAAAAACTCTGAGAATGACATTACATCAAATCGGCATTTATTAATAAAACAACACACCATGAAAGTCACAGAAGCAGCACTAAGCAATAGGACACTCGAGTTCATAGTGACGTCTTCAGAGTGTTTGTTAAAGATGACACACAGCAGAGCGATGAGATTCCTTTCATAACAACCCCTCAAGTGGCATACTGCTTCTGGAAAATCATTACAACCAAAAAAACTACATAAAAGACACACAAACGGTGCTGAAAACCTGATTCAGTGACTCAAGACTAGCAGATCAAGAGGTGTCATGAAACTAAGCTTAATAGTTAATACACAGACACATTTATTTTTATTTATTTTATCTCATTTATTTATCAGCAACCATGGCTAATAATTCATGGCAACATTAACAATATCATTTCAATACATCATTATTTACAATAATATAACATTTTCTTAAGAAACAATCATTATACAAAAGCAAACAAGGAAGGAGAGACTTTTTAAAAAATATCTTTTAGTATATTTTCTGAATAATATCGTTGTCTAATATCATTAAAAATTGGACATTCTATTAAAATATGTTCAGTAAATATATATAAATAATATAAAATTATGAAATAAAAAATGAAGGAGTATGTGTGTGTGTATACATATATATAAACAACTATTAAAGTTAACAACTAATTATTAAATTTATTTAATAGGCTTATAGCTCATATATTTTAACTTTTTTAAATATTATATTATATAATAATATATATTTTTATATGCATTTATATAAATATATATTTTAACTACACACACACACACACACACATATATATGTGTATATGTATACACACATACCCTACAGTAAAAAAAAAAGAAGAAGAAAAAAAATCAGCTGAATGCAAAAAAGGCTGTCCAGCTGGTTTGGCTGCTGGTTTCAGATTAGTTTACGAAACATAACACTAGTTAGTTGTCCTGATCTACATAATCCAGTTTATAAAACGAGTTCAAGCAGCATCATAAAGCGATTCGTTCTGCTTAGAAACACACATTTGAGTCTAACTAGTATCAGTAGATCAGATGTTATAGCAGTAGACTGTACTATAGTTCTGAAGCCTCAAATCATAAAAACACAACAAAGCGTTCACATTAAACACCAGAGAGAGCAGAGCGTCTGATCTTTGAGCTCAACTATAACAAGGCACTTCTGTACTTCAGAGCACGTAACAATAAACGAGATTTCACTGAAGTTATGCAAGAACTTTGACCGCAAGTGGGAAAATAAGTCATGATTACAGCCTTGTTTTGTTTCCACGTCTATTATGAGCCACAGGCGCTGTTGTGAATGTTTGTTGTGATCTCCTCGTGAAGGAAACTCCCAGAAAGACCAGGATGCAGCTGTTGCTCCGCCAGACTAACGCTACAGACTCGGAGCTCGGTGATTGATCAGAGTGCAAAAGAGATGTCGGGACTCACCTGTGATTTTCCCTCCCGTGTCTCCGTGTCCTCGCCGGTGCTGCAGGAGGAAATAATCGTTGGATCTGTCGGTCACCCAGAGCTTCAGCGCGTTTTTCAGCGCGACTTCTTCAGGAGTGATCCACATCCTCACGAGTGCGGCTCGCGTTGCTCTCTGTAGTACGCACTAGCCTCGTATTCCGCCCATAACTGCAGTTCCTCTTTCGGCGCGACTGTTTATTTCCGCTTTTTCCAGCTTTCCTGCCCTCGGTTCCGGCGGGGGAAGTTTCATCTCACCGCCTGCCGGTTCTCCTCACGAATAAAGCTGACGATGCGTTTCCCGCGCGAATTCCACTGACTGACAGGAACCAACCGACGCTTCTTTTTATTGTCTTTAGCTGCAGAAGTTACTGAAAAGCGATTTTACATGTGCTGGTCTGGTTATACTGAGGTGACAAAACAAAAGCCTACCGTTTTAATAACTAATTCTATATCGCGAATAAACGGTCGCCGCTGAGAATCTGTGTGACTGACAGCCGCTCCTCCAATCAGAAGAACGTTCTGCCTGTCAATCATTCGCGCGCGGGGGCGGGGCTTTATAGACGTTGGTGGAATTCAGTGATCGATAGATGATTAATCTTAGTATATTTTTATTGTATTCAAATGTATGTGTGTAAACTAAATTGTATTTATGCACAATTATTCTGAAGTGATTTGGGATGTTTTATTTTTCTAAGATAATTGTTATATTTATAATATAGGTATATTATAATTCACATATTATATATAATAACAAAATTCCTTATCCGCAAATGTATGGGCGTACTTTTACTCCTGGTAAAATAGAAATAGGTCACTATCTTTATACGTTAACAGCAATAAGACATAATAAATTACTTAAATATGTCCTTTAATCGATTGATTTATAACACGCATCCTGTATGATGAAAACTGAATGTTCAAAAGTACAGTGTTTTAAATGTTTTAAGAACATTTCGTGAACGTTAAGGGAACGTTACATAGATGTGTTTAAATGAAACAAGCAGTAACATTCAAAAAATTAATTAACTAAACTTTTCAGAAAAAAAGCTCCATGAACGATGTATAAATAATATTTTTATGCTAACATTTTGACAACGTTGACGAGATAACGTTGAACAAACGTTCTGTTAACGTTAAGAATGTTTGAGAACATTGCCAGATGTTCTATGTTTAAAGATGTATATTTCTCCTTTTGTTCTCTTCTATTAATATTTTAATATTCTGATGTTTATCAAGATTTGATTGTTATCAAAATGTTGCAATAAAAAAGTTAGAATTGTTTGCATATTTGGATTTCACGGACAGTAAATACAGGATTTTGGTTAATATGTTTTCGGTGAACATGACATTTGGAAATCTGAAAAAATTGTCTTTCTATTTACTAGCAATACTCAACATGTTACCAACATCATAATCATGCCAGAAACATGCTAGCAACATGTTAATCATGCTAACAATATGCTAATCATGCTAGAGACACACTATCAACATGTTAACTACATGCTAATCATGTTAAAAACACGCTAGCAACACGTTAACTACATGCTAATCATGCTAGCAACATTCTAATCATGTTAAAAACATGCTATCAACATGTTAACTGCATGCTAATCATGCTAGCAACATTCTAATCATGTTAAAAACATGCTATCAACATGTTAACTGCATGCTAATCATGCTAGCAACATTCTAATCATGTTAAAAACATGCTATCAACATGTTAACTGCATGCTAATCATGCTAGCAACATTCTAATCATGTTAAAAACATGTTAACATGTTAACTACATGCTAATCATGTTAAAAACATGCTAACAACATGCTAATCATGCCAGAAACATGCAAGCAACATGCTAATTACCTTTCACCTTTATTTATATAGCGCTTTATACAATACTGATTGTGTCAAAGCAGCTTTACAGTGTTAAACAGGAAAATAGTTGGTCAGTAATGCAAGAGGACAATAACAAAGAATAATTTTTCCAGCTAAAGTCAGTTGATTGATGATTCAGTGATTCATCATCCAGTTCAGTTCTCTACCAATAGTGTCTGTGCAATCAGTCAAGCGTCCCCAACTAAGCAAGCCATTAGCTATATGCTAATCGTGTCAGAAACATACTAGCAACATGTTAACATCATGCTAATCATGTAGAAACATGCTACCAACATGCTAATCATGGGTGTATTCCAAACTGCTTTTTTGCGCCCTTGAAGGACACTTCGGGAAGGGGACCATTTGTAGGGACGTTCCAAACGAAAGTGAACAACTGAATCACTTCCAGAAGTCGGTTAGCGAAGGGAACATGCGATGGTCACTTCACGGAAGTGATATCTGTTTGTGATCATGTGATCTTCAGTTAGGAACTCTTGCAATGCATTTTAAATCATGTTATCTATCTATCTATCTATCTATCTATCTATCTATCTGTCTGTCTGTCTGTCTGTCTGTCTGTCTATCTATCTATCTATATCGTTCTATCGTTCTATCTATCTGTCTGTCTGTCTATCTGTCTCTATCTGTCTGTCTATCTATCTATCTATCTATCTATCTATCTATCTGTCTTGTCTGTCTGTCTATCATCTATCTGTCTGTCTGTCTGTCTGTCTGTCCTATCTATCTATCTATCTATCTCTGTCTGTCTGTCTGTCTGTCTGTCTGTCTGTCTATCTATCTATCTATATCGTTCTATCGTTCTATCTATCTGTCTGTCTGTCTATCTGTCTCTATCTGTCTGTCTATCTATCTATCTATCTATCTATCTATCTATCGTTCTATCTATCGTTCTATCCGTCCATCCATCCATCGTTCTATCTATCGGTCTGTCTATCTATGTATCTATCATTCTATCGTTCTATATTTCTATCTGTCTGTCTATCTGTCTATCTATCTATCTATCTGTCTGTCTGTCTATCTATCTATCGTTCTATCTATCTATCTATCTATCTGTCTGTCTGTCTATCTATCTATCGTTCTATCTATCTATCTATCTATCTGTCTGTCTGTCTATCTATCTATCGTTCTATCTATCTATCTATCTATCTGTCTGTCTGTCTATCTATCTATCGTTCTATCTATCTATCTATCTATCTGTCTGTCTGTCTATCTATCTATCGTTCTATCTATCTATCTATCTATCTGTCTGTCTGTCTATCTATCTATCGTTCTATCTATCTATCTATCTATCTGTCTGTCTGTCTATCTATCTATCGTTCTATCTATCTATCTATCTATCTGTCTGTCTGTCTATCTATCTATCGTTCTATCTATCTATCTATCTATCTGTCTGTCTGTCTATCTATCTATCGTTCTATCTATCTATCTATCTATCTGTCTGTCTGTCTATCTATCTATCGTTCTATCTATCTATCTATCTATCTGTCTGTCTGTCTATCTATCTATCGTTCTATCTATCTATCTATCTATCTGTCTGTCTGTCTATCTATCTATCGTTCTATCTATCTATCTATCTATCTGTCTGTCTGTCTATCTATCTATCGTTCTATCTATCTATCTATCTATCTGTCTGTCTGTCTATCTATCTATCGTTCTATCTATCTATCTATCTATCTGTCTGTCTGTCTATCTATCTATCGTTCTATCTATCTATCTATCTATCTGTCTGTCTGTCTATCTATCTATCGTTCTATCTATCTATCTATCTATCTGTCTGTCTGTCTATCTATCTATCGTTCTATCTATCTATCTATCTATCTGTCTGTCTGTCTATCTATCTATCGTTCTATCTATCTATCTATCTATCTGTCTGTCTGTCTATCTATCTATCGTTCTATCTATCTATCTATCTATCTGTCTGTCTGTCTATCTATCTATCGTTCTATCTATCTATCTATCTATCTGTCTGTCTGTCTATCTATCTATCGTTCTATCTATCTATCTATCTATCTGTCTGTCTGTCTATCTATCTATCGTTCTATCTATCTATCTATCTATCTGTCTGTCTGTCTATCTATCTATCGTTCTATCTATCTATCTATCTATCTGTCTGTCTGTCTATCTATCTATCGTTCTATCTATCTATCTATCTATCTGTCTGTCTGTCTATCTATCTATCGTTCTATCTATCTATCTATCTATCTGTCTGTCTGTCTATCTATCTATCGTTCTATCTATCTATCTATCTATCTGTCTGTCTGTCTATCTATCTATCGTTCTATCTATCTATCTATCTATCTGTCTGTCTGTCTATCTATCTATCGTTCTATCTATCTATCTATCTATCTGTCTGTCTGTCTATCTATCTATCGTTCTATCTATCTATCTATCTATCTGTCTGTCTGTCTATCTATCTATCGTTCTATCTATCTATCTATCTATCTGTCTGTCTGTCTATCTATCTATCGTTCTATCTATCTATCTATCTATCTGTCTGTCTGTCTATCTATCTATCGTTCTATCTATCTATCTATCTATCTGTCTGTCTGTCTATCTATCTATCGTTCTATCTATCTATCTATCTATCTGTCTGTCTGTCTATCTATCTATCGTTCTATCTATCTATCTATCTATCTGTCTGTCTGTCTATCTATCTATCGTTCTATCTATCTATCTATCTATCTGTCTGTCTGTCTATCTATCTATCGTTCTATCTATCTATCTATCTATCTGTCTGTCTGTCTATCTATCTATCGTTCTATCTATCTATCTATCTATCTGTCTGTCTGTCTATCTATCTATCGTTCTATCTATCTATCTATCTATCTGTCTGTCTGTCTATCTATCTATCGTTCTATCTATCTATCTATCTATCTGTCTGTCTGTCTATCTATCTATCGTTCTATCTATCTATCTATCTATCTGTCTGTCTGTCTATCTATCTATCGTTCTATCTATCTATCTATCTATCTGTCTGTCTGTCTATCTATCTATCGTTCTATCTATCTATCTATCTATCTGTCTGTCTGTCTATCTATCTATCGTTCTATCTATCTATCTATCTATCTGTCTGTCTGTCTATCTATCTATCGTTCTATCTATCTATCTATCTATCTGTCTGTCTGTCTATCTATCTATCGTTCTATCTATCTATCTATCTATCTGTCTGTCTGTCTATCTATCTATCGTTCTATCTATCTATCTATCTATCTGTCTGTCTGTCTATCTATCTATCGTTCTATCTATCTATCTATCTATCTGTCTGTCTGTCTATCTATCTATCGTTCTATCTATCTATCTATCTATCTGTCTGTCTGTCTATCTATCTATCGTTCTATCTATCTATCTATCTATCTGTCTGTCTGTCTATCTATCTATCGTTCTATCTATCTATCTATCTATCTGTCTGTCTGTCTATCTATCTATCGTTCTATCTATCTATCTATCTATCTGTCTGTCTGTCTATCTATCTATCGTTCTATCTATCTATCTATCTATCTGTCTGTCTGTCTATCTATCTATCGTTCTATCTATCTATCTATCTATCTGTCTGTCTGTCTATCTATCTATCGTTCTATCTATCTATCTATCTATCTGTCTGTCTGTCTATCTATCTATCGTTCTATCTATCTATCTATCTATCTGTCTGTCTGTCTATCTATCTATCGTTCTATCTATCTATCTATCTATCTGTCTGTCTGTCTATCTATCTATCGTTCTATCTATCTATCTATCTATCTGTCTGTCTGTCTATCTATCTATCGTTCTATCTATCTATCTATCTATCTGTCTGTCTGTCTATCTATCTATCGTTCTATCTATCTATCTATCTATCTGTCTGTCTGTCTATCTATCTATCGTTCTATCTATCTATCTATCTATCTGTCTGTCTGTCTATCTATCTATCGTTCTATCTATCTATCTATCTATCTGTCTGTCTGTCTATCTATCTATCGTTCTATCTATCTATCTATCTATCTGTCTGTCTGTCTATCTATCTATCGTTCTATCTATCTATCTATCTATCTGTCTGTCTGTCTATCTATCTATCGTTCTATCTATCTATCTATCTATCTGTCTGTCTGTCTATCTATCTATCGTTCTATCTATCTATCTATCTATCTGTCTGTCTGTCTATCTATCTATCGTTCTATCTATCTATCTATCTATCTGTCTGTCTGTCTATCTATCTATCGTTCTATCTATCTATCTATCTATCTGTCTGTCTGTCTATCTATCTATCGTTCTATCTATCTATCTATCTATCTGTCTGTCTGTCTATCTATCTATCGTTCTATCTATCTATCTATCTATCTGTCTGTCTGTCTATCTATCTATCGTTCTATCTGTCTATCTGTCTGTCTATCTATCTATCTATCATTCTATCTATCTAAATTTTAAACTTTACATCTGTTTCAAACTTTTCAAGTTTTTACAACTACTTCAAAATTGGCTTTCTCGAGCCAACCTAAAATTTGTCTTGACAAACTTTTTTATCTAGTTACTAAATTAGGTGTTTTTTAAATTTATTCATTTACAGTTTTTCTCAGTCGCTTTGGTGCATTTCTCGAATCGTCCTTAATATTTGCAAAGAAGTATGTGCATTTCTCAAAACAATTCGTACAAACAGCACCACACAATGGATTACCTGCAAAAGCCTGTAACTTACTCAAAATCTTTAGTTCATCTCTCAAAAGTAATTATTTATATCAATGAACATATCAGTGCCATCAGAATGAAAAGTCCTTGAGTCATTGTTCACAAACAAGATAGTCAAAATGCTTAGTCAATATAACAGTGCACTCTGTTAGTATTACCTGGTGTAAACTATGGCAACAGTTTGGATAACAGTTACTGTATTGAACAGTATGCCATATATCCAAAAGTAGAAATTTACACATTACTGTATGTGGGATATTGATTGAAAGAGACTGGATAGAATTCCCAGTTACACTTTACTAGTGGTCTGACAAAAATACAAACAAAAAAGCATTACAACGTCATTGTGATGAAAAGAAATATGGGCACAAAGGCGAAGATACAAAATTAGAAAGACAAACACAGCTATGCTTTTGCATGCAGCACTGTATGAGGAACTGCAGTGCGGTCTGTCTACACCTCCTGACCTGCAGATTCTCATCTACATCACAACTAATATCTTCCCTTGCAATGCAACGTGGAACTGGAGTCAAGTGAACCTTCTCACAACTTCATACATGTGGATGAGGCTGGCTTCAACCTGACCAAAAGCAGAAGGTGTGGTCGAAATGTCATCGGCCACAGAGCTACTGTTGATTTATCAGGCCAACGGCGAGGAAATATCCATTGTCAGAATTTGTACCTCTTGTGTTGTCCTGTGTGTGTGTGTGTTTGTGTGTGAGAGAGTGAGTGTGTGTGTGTGTGTCAGTACTGATGACGGTGGATGTGCTGCATATAGAAACACCAGGCGTTTCTCAATCAGTGTTTATTACTGAAAACCAGCCTCGAGTCAATACTTCAATATATTTAAAGGAACAGTTCACCCAAAAATTACTCTCGGTTCATCTGAGAGTAATTTTGCAACTTGTTCAAAAGAAAGAGAAACTGCTTTTATGATGTGCGCAAGTGACTAGATGATGTGGAGGTTGAACAGGTAGTTTTGAGAATTTAATTTCTTTTCTGAGAAATGCACCGAAGCCACTGAGAAAAACTATTTATTTGCTGAATGAGCGTCAGTCAGTCAGCCACGCCCCTGTTGCGTCATTTGATTGACAGCGCATCTGGACGTACGTGCGCTGCGCTTCAACACCATATATGGACATTCAGAAACACGCCGGAAAACGGTGCAGCACTGATTATCGTCCTACGCGCTTCTCTGAAATGTTCTCTTTAAATGTTCGCATTAATCATCTTATGTAATTATACAGTTTTGTCGTGACGCTAACGCATTCATTTTGATTTCTCGGCGGATTTACTGATCAAACGGATGAAAAGGCGAGTGTTGTTGTGTTGTCAGCCGGTGTTCGGCCGGAGCAGTTTGAGCGGCGCTCCTTCTGTTTCCGGTGCAGTGAGAGCGGAGGCGTGATTCACAGCAGCTCCGAGATGCAGGTTTGTGTCTTTAAAACGATCTAGATCATAGTTTAATGCTCATTATATTGTCACATTGTTGATTTGTGTTTCCTCGCGTCTGTGTGAAGGATGTTTGGAGGTGATGATGGGTTAGTTTAGTCTCTTAAGCTCAGAACTAGTGCTCTGTGTGTGTTTACATTGGTTATCTCTTCTTCTTGGGTTGATGTTGTCTGCGATTGAAGACTGAAGAAAATATCAAGGAAAATCTCCAGAACTGAAAATCAACGGCGTTTCTATAGCTTTATTATAGTTAGTGCTATTATACGTTACTAAAAATATAAATTAATACATTTTTGCTAATTATAATAAAATAAACGTTAACAAATACTGAAACTCGTAGCTCTGTGAATAATATCCAAAATAAAAAAGGTAATTCTGATTTTTTTTCTTGCAATAATGAATTTATATCTCAGAATTCAGAGAAAAACCGTGAGATAAGAAGTCACGATTAACCTTTTTTTTTTTTTTGTATCCAGTTCCATGAGAAAGTGACTAAAACTTTAACTAAAATTAAAATATTGTTTGTTTTCTGAATATAGGATCCGAACGCAGACACCGAGTGGAATGACATCCTCAGGAAGAAGGGCATCCTTCCTCCCAAAGAAACACCGCCGGAGGAGGAAGAGGAGGAGCTTCATCAGACGCAGTCTGTCGGTCCGTCACAGCTGTGCTTTACTTGAGAGTGTGTGTGTATGTGTGAGAGTGTGTGTGTGTGTGTGTGTGTGTGTGAGAGAGTGCGTGTGAGAGTGTGTGCGTGTGAGAGTGTGTGCGTGTGAGAGTGTATGTGTATGTGTGAGAGAGTGTGTGTGTGTATGTGTGTATGTGTGTGAGAGTGTGTGAGAGAGTGTGTGTGTGTATGTATGTGTGAGTGTCTGTGAGTGTCTGTGTGAGTGTGTGTGTGTGTGTGTGTGTGTGTGAGTGAGTGTGAGTGTCTGTGTGAGTGTGTGTGTGTGGAGTAGATGAGCTGATGGATTGTGTTGTTCTGCAGTGAAGACGTACGAGAGCATGACTCTAGAGCAGCTGGAGGAGAATGAAGACGAGTTCGGTGAGGAAGATGAGCTGGCCATGGAGATGTACAGGTACAGAGCACAGCTTCACTTCAGTCAGTGACCAGTGACCATAAAGATCAGGGTTTATGCTCAGAATTAAACTTCTGCAGTTCATTCAGAAGATAACTGCGGCTCGTTTCAGTCCAGCTTTGATCTGTGTGAACTTTATACTTAGTTTGAAAATCTAAATCTGAAATAACAATTACTAAAAACTATATAGACATTAAAAAACAAATTAAACTTATGCAATTAATTCAGAAGATAATTTTGGCATTCAGTCTAGCTTTGTTTTTGTGAACTTTATACTTTATAATTAAGATTAAAGTTTGAAAAATTAAAATCTGAAATAAAAATGACTAAAAACTATAGACATTTTAAAAAACAAATAAAATTTGAAATGTTTTGCTCGGTTTTGAACTTCCGCGATTAATTCAGAAGATAATTATTTCAGTCTAGTTTTGGTTTTTGTCAACTTTATAATTAAGAAATGAAAGATTAAAACCTGAATATGTTAAATAAAAATTACTAAAAACTATATAGACATTTAAAGTTTGAAAATGTCTTATTGATTTATCGCTGGAAATGAATGGCATTTGCATACTGGATTCTGATTGGCCGTCATTCTTGCATATATTTGCATACTGATTGTAATGGGTTCTGTAGTCACGGTTATGCTGTGGATCATCAGCAGAAACAGACACAGCACTGAAGTGTCCTGCTGCTGCTCGAACTGTTAATAATGCTTTGTGTCCGGCAGACAGAAGAGGCTGGCCGAGTGGAAGGCTAACCAGCTGAAGAACAGGTTTGAGGAGGTCAGCGAGATCTCGGGGCAGGATTACGTGCAGGAGGTCAATAAAGCCGGAGCGGGAATCTGGGTGGTGCTGCATCTCTACAAACCGGGGTGAGACTCTCCATCACTGCGTTCATACAGCGACAGACCTTCTGCGAAACAAGCCTGGGATTTGATTAAACCCCGAAGCTCACCTGTTTATTTATTACTCCCTTTGGGTTCAGTTGGCATTGCATTATCTAATTTTGTTTCTCCAGTAAATGTATCTTGATTTATGAATCTTTAGACATTTGAACTAGAAAACCAGACAGAAATACTGAGGAAGCGTGTGATCGGAAGATACAGGAGAAGTTACTTCCGTATTCTGCTGTTTGGAGCAGAAATATTGAAGCCTTAAGCTATTTATTTGTCAGATTAATTAAAAACTAATGAAGATCTGTTGGAAGCTGTATTATTAGACTTTGAAGCGTTGCTAATGCGAGACATTTACGTTTAGAGACGTATTGAGTTCCGTTCAGTGTATTCCTTAAATTTTCTTTAATTGGTCATGTGTCTGTGTGTGAGTGTGTGACTGTGTGTGTGTGTGTGTGTGTGTGTGTGTGTGTGTGTGTGTGTGTGTGTGTGTGTGTGAGTGAGTGGG